CAAACAATGTTTGAACCAGCCCTTCGGGTAATTTTATGCACATGCACTCTAGACTGCTGGCCAAACTATAAACATCTGAGGAACAAATCTCTCCCACAGGCTCAACTGGTGATAGCTGTTCAATTTGTGAAAAAGAGAAATAGCACTCTTGACTTTTAATGACTTCCCAGACTCCAGTTCCATTCCCTCATGATTCCCAGTTACCCAAGTCTTGGAGCTATTCCTGTAGTTTCAATATATTCCCTCTTTTGCTTAAACTGGTTTGGTGAGGTTTTATTTCTTGAATCCAAAGATTAAGCTACGCCAATAAAATGAAAACCACTATAAATAAGTGTGGATTCAAGGCCTGGTTCTTCCAAAAATGAGCTGTGAGGCCTTATGCAAGCCCTTTCTCTCTGTGCAGCGATGCTATCATCTATAAATGATGGGGTTGGCCTGGATATCAGAGGTGCCTTCATTAACTAATATGCTAGGCTAGATATTGACTCCTCTGGATAATCTCTTGACTCTATAGAACTCTTAAGAAAGATAACTAATTTTCTTTAGTTCTATCCATTGACTCCAGGTAAAATAACAAAATCAGAAAATAAAATGCACCCCAACTCTGTCTCTCTTTCCCAGTCTTTCCAAAGTATCATCGATTAATTAGAGGGATGCTTTAAATAATGTTGATTTGATGTTCCAATTCTTTTGCAATTTAAATTGTCAGCAGAGACAACCAAGATGGCACAGTAGGTAAACGCTGTGTTTACCTCCTCTCACAACCACATCAAAATTACAACTAATCTACAAAACAACCATTATTGAAAATCAAGCTGAACTTCATGAAGCCTTTCAGCTAATGACACGCAGAAGCCACCTCCAGACTGGTAGGAAGGTCAGAGACACGGAACAAGCTGGTTCCACACCCGCGTGGGACCATTAAAGATTGGGAGGGTGCGAAATCCCAGCCCCACCCCAAACCAGGGCTCCAGTGCGAGGGACAGAAGTCCCCATAATTTTTGGTTGTGAAAACCAGCGGAGATTGTGACTGAGGGAGACTGAGTGCAGCTGCACTCCCAGGCGCTCCTCTTAAAGGAACTGTGCGCGGACTTACCACCAACGGAATCACTCACGCTGAGCTCTGGCACTGGGGCAGCGGCTGGAGAGGCAGCAGGGACATATGGTGGGGAATTGAGTTGTCTGGCTTGGGACAGGTGCTGGAGAAGTGGCTTTCTCCTGGAGGGGGAACTAGCAGTGGCCACTGTTTCTTTGCTGATCCCTCCCTCTTCTGGGCATGTGAACACAGGTGGTAGCCATATCTGAGTCTCAGCAGTTCATTTGTCACACCCTGGTGATTAGAGACCTGGCCCCGCCCAACTGTCAGGCACACCCAGGTTGCTTTCAGTGGCTTTTTCATGCAGACCACCTGCCTTGGCTCAAGCTGCAGACTTTCCTAGACTCTCAAATGTCCATGTAACCTAGACAAGCAGCATTTGGCTTGAGTGTGTCCTGTTCCTCTAGCTGAGCAGCCCTAAACCGGCACTAGCAGCAGCCGGACTTGGTTCACAGCTTGGCCTCTCAAGGCGCTTCCAACCACGGCATGGGTGTTAACCATCTGTGGATTTCTTTCTGGCTCTCACTAGGTGGCCCCAGGTGGGGCAGGGCTGTGGCTGAACTTGACCTACAGTGGATCCCCTCCAAGGTGGTTCTGGGGCTGGCACCCCCAGTGGCCAGCTTCAAAATGAACTGGAACATCATCCAGCCACTTCCTAGACTGACACACCCAAGGGGCAGATTGGGCAGGCACCAGAGTCCTGCTGAAACAGATCCTGCTCCGTAGGGTCAGCCCCTGCACAACAACTCTTCCACTGTAGTCAAGGCCAGTCTTCCCAACCAGTGAGCCCAAGAGTAAGTCCCTCACACTGATGTGCAATTATCAACGAAGGCTCAACTACAAGAGGAGGGCACACACAACACATACAAGGGACAGACCTGGAGTGTATGGTTCAGGTGACCAGAAAGACTATGCCACTGAACCCCACAGCACACCACTACATAAGGTCATTCTACCAAGACCAGAAGACATCGCAGCCCTACCTAATACATAGAAACACAGGGAGACAGACAAAATGGGGAGACAAAGAAACATGTCCCAAATAAAAGAACAGAACAAAGCTCCAGAAAATGAACTAAGTGAAATGGAGATAAGCAATGTATCAGACACAGAGTTCCAAACACTGGTTATAAGAATGCTCAGTGATCTCAGAGAGAACTTCGACAGAGAGATCAGAAGCGTAAAAATGGACATGGAAACCACGAAAAAGAACGAGTCAAGAATAAAGGATACAATAACAGAAATAAAGAATATATTACAGGGAACCAACAGAATCGATGAAGCAGAGGATCCAACCAGTGATGTAGAAGATAAGGTAGCAGAAAACACCCAACCACAACAGCAAAAAGAATCCAAACAATTGAGAAGAGTTAAGGGGCCTCCGGGACCATATCAAGCATACCAACATTTGCATTATAGGGGTACCAGAAGGAGAAGAGAGAAAGCAAGGAATTGGAAACCTACTTGAAGAAATAATGACAGAAAATTTCCCTAACCTAGTGAAAGAAATAGACATACAAACCCAGGTAGCACAGAGAGTCCCAAACAAGATGAACCCAAAGATGCCAACACCAAGACACATCATAATTAAAATGCCAAAGGTTAAAGACAAAGAGAGAATCTTAAAAGCAGCAAGAGAAAAGCAGTTAGTTACCTACAAGGGAGCCCCATACACCTGTCAGCTGATTTCTCAACAGAAACTTTTCAGGCAAGAGAGTGGCAGGAAATATTCCAAGTGATGAAAAGCAAGCAACGACAATCAAGATTGCTCTATTCAGCAAGGCTGTCATTTAGAATTGAAGGACAGATAAGGAGTTTCCCAGACAAGAAAAAGCTGAAGGAGTTCATCACCACCAAACCAATATTACAAGGAATCTTAGAGGGATTTCTTTAAGATAGGAGGGGGGTTAAGGATGGGAAGAAGGGGAAGGGATTAAGAAGCACAAATTGGTTGCTATACAGTAGTCATGGGGATGTAGGGTATAGCATAAGGAACATACTCAATAATATTGTAATAACTAGGTATGGTGCCAGATAGCTACCAGATCTATCAGGGTGATAGATGGGAGTAGAGTTGGGGGTGGGGAGAGGGGGGTGGAGGCATTAGGAAGTGAAAATTTGTAGTAATACAGTATGGGGAATAGAATCAACAATGTTGTAAAGATTATGTAAGGTACCAGATGGGCACTGGACTTATCAGATGATCACGTCATAGACTGTGTAGATGTCTGACCAATGTGCTATACACCTGAAGCTAAAGTAGAATACTGAATGTCAGCTATAACTAAATATATAGGTATATATAGTGATGGGATGTGGAGTTCAGCATAGGAAGATAGTCGATGGTATCGTAACATCTACATAAGATGTCAGAGGGGTAGTAGCTTGGGACTGGGTTATCACTTTATTAGGAGTTTAAATATCTAAATATTATATTGCTTTGTACACCTGAAACTAATAAAAATAAAAACAACCTCAACACCAATTATGTAATGGTGTTGAATGGAATATGGAATATATTAAAAAGTATTATTTGCATCCAAAAAAATTTAATGTCAGCATATTATAATTAGGCTAACTTTAGTTAAGGTTGCTGTCTGTCATGAAATGTATATAAAAAAACATGTACATAGGACAAAATTATACTTGCAAAAAAATAATCATTTTTTGGGCAATTTTTCTCTTCACAAAAAATGCAGCTCATCCAAAGAACTAACATCAAATGAAGTGGCAAACTACTTTAAAGATTTTAAATAAGTAAAAGGTTTCAAGGAAAATATTCTAAAATCAATAGTATCCTAAAATAAACAGTAAGAATATCCTCTATTAAGCCCATATACCCTGCATTATATAACTTTTTAGTTGACAAAGTATACTGTTTTGACCCTTAAATTCCCACCCTAGCAGACTTTTCTCTGATGCTGAAATGAAAATAGTGACCAAATGCTTTGATGGACAACTCATTACAATGAGAACTGAAGGCTTCTGAAACTAGACAAAGATTTTTCTGTATCTCCCAGATGCTAGGGAAAATAAAGGAAATATTTCAGTCTCTCACCCAAGAATTAAATTTATATCTGCACTTAAAAAAACAAAATAAGTGCTTTAGAATGATCAAGATCAAGGTACAGTTTTTAAAAAGCAGAAAGTGTTCCCAAGGCAGGATGAAGAAAAAAAATTTTTTGAGAGAAAATAAAAAGAAACAAGGGGAGAAAAAAATCTTCCAACAGAGTAGAAACTGTTAGTCTCTCTCTGTGCCCCTGAAAGGTTTTGATCCAACCCTATTTGTTATCCTAGAAAAGCTCTTCTGAAGAAAGGTTTCAGTGTAAGAACTGCTTGAAAGCCAACCCTTTGGAAATAGGACTGGCTTGGCCATTTATTAATGTCAAATATGCTGCCCGCATGAATTAGTCAGCTTGTCTTTTGGAAGCCATACAGAAAAGTTCTCATGCACCTGCCTCTTAGTGTCCTGACACTTCTGGTTTTAATGACAGCAGCAACCACCACCAGAAAACAAAATTTAAAAACTCAAAATGCTGAACATAACTACATTCTACTTTCTGAATAGTTGATTCAACAATTTTTAAAGGCTTCTTACTAAAGTATCGTCATTGACCACAGCATATAAAAGCTTTCTCTGATGTAAAAGGAAAAGCAAAACAGAGTCATTTTCCTAAATTGGCAAAATGTACCCAAATTACTACAAAACTGACCTTAGAAACAAAGAGAAGTGGAGCTGAAAAAGGCCAGATTTCTTACTGGCAGTACCACAGTGGCAAATATCCCAGAACTAAGAGAAGCTACGAAGAAGAGAGAAAATTAAAGGACTTTCCAAAAACAGCCAACCCCAGTGCACATAGCATTCCCAACAGCTGGAGTGAGCCTCAGAAGCAACACACAGGTATAAGGTCCAGCCTTATTCTTTATTTACAGCACAGTTCAAAGACATTAAATCAAGTACAAAAGAAATGGCTCCTATTTTCTGGGTTGGCATCGGACATCCTTTTTACCAGCCACAATTGCATCATTTTTATCTGTCTTCTACTTTTCCTTTTGGGAGGGCAGAGGTGGGGAGTGACAAATGGGCCAGAGACTTCAATCTCAAAACCAAGAGGAATCCCTGCTTGCAGAGAAACAAAGGAATGGACTCTCCCTCCTGTGAAAGGCAGTCAGGAACTCTGCTCCAGTTTTGAGGGCCACTGATAGTGTGGGAAAGCTGCCATGAAGAGATTCTTCCTGGGAGTGGCACAAAGATGGTGAGGACCTGGGGTGTGGAATGGCTGCCGTCACCCTCACCCTACCCTCTCTTCTATCTCAACCTTTGCCCACCAAATCTAATGATACACAAGGGAAACTAATTACATGTAGAAATCCAAAGTGAACGGGAATGTGGGTGAACTGAACATAAAAGAAGAAACTGAAAAGGGTCAAAAGTTGCTTAGTGCTTCTTTCTTCGACTGGCATAGAAATCTCCGATCCACTGCTTCATGTATCTGACTTCCAAGGAGCGGGCTAATAGCACAGTCTTGGGATCATAGGCATTGTTGGCTCGGAGATCTAGATGATGGGCCCCGTCGGGGATAGTGATGGCAACCAAGGTGTCCGTGATGTCCTTGGTTACTCCACCTCCTGACCAGGGGTCTAGGTCACCATTGCTAAGTGAGGGAAAGAAGAAAAAATAGGATGGTTAGTTTATCTACTACACCCAGGTAAGAAAGGAGAAACCTATTTTATATATAACATCTGAAATTACAAGCTTAGAACCAGGGATTTGATCTGAAGATCTAATCTGTCATAAAGGGGCTTCATACTGGAGTTCTACAATACTTCTGTAACCAAGGGCAAGAAACAGGACCAGAGAGAAGAGTGAAGGTGGTGCCCCATGAATCACCCCAGGTAGTATCATGACTTGGAATTTAGAAGCCTGGATTCCAATCCCAGCTTCATTACTCAAAAGCCATATGATCTTCCTCATCTGTAAGACAGGGATGCCAAGGCCTCCCCCATGAGGCTCCTGTAAGTGTTAAACCAGACGGCACAGGTGGATGTGTTTAGTAAGTACAGGTGGCAGGCACATAGGAGCCCCTCAATTAATGCTGGTTTCTTTCTTTCCCCGGACCCAACTATCAAAGTGATAAAGAAACACTTCCATTTTTGAAAATGCTAATTATCTTTTTAGCTCTTAAAAACAAAAAACAACAACAACAAAAATCCCTTCATTTTTCTTATAATACAGCACTTTGGGAAACAGGGTGGTAGAACTGAAAAAATTCCTCTGAATCTTAATCAGAAAATTTGATCGTTACTCAAAGATCCCCACTTTACATCAGCTTTTAAAGTTAAGGAAATGCTGTTAGGTTACTAGTCTTGGCTGGTCACACAACACATTTCAGAATGATGTAAACAGGATCAGTCACTGATACAGGCTATTTA